GAAGACCTACAGAATGGGAGAAGGGATCTGAAAACTACACTCTAACTAAAAAAAATTTCAATAACTAAAAGAACTAAAAAACCTTGATAGCAAAAAAAAAAAAACTTGATTAACAAGTGGTCATCAGGCTTTAGCAGACATTTCTAAAAAAAGCACAGTAAGCAAATGTAAAAACAGACAAAAGAGTTATATCAGCAAAGAAAATAATCAAGAGTACACAGAAGACCTACAGAATGGGAGAAGGGATCTGAAAACTACACTCTAACTAAAAAAAATTTCAATAACTAAAAGAACTAAAAAACCTTGATAGCAAAAAAAAAAAAACTTGATTAACAAGTGGTCATCAGGCTTTAGCAGACATTTCTAAAAAGATGACATACAAATGGCCAACACCACTAATCTTCAAGGGACTGCAATATAATAAACACAATGAGATGTCACCTCATCCCAGAAAGAACAGCTGTTCTCACAGAGAACACAACAAGTACCTGTGAGGTTGTTGGGAGAAGGGGATGCTTACACACTGTAGATAGGATACAAATTAGAACAGCCATATAGAAAACAGCATGGAGGTCTCTCTAAAAATTAAAAATACAACTACCATATGACCTAGAAATCCTACTAATAAGTATATATCCAAAGGGTATAACGAATTCTGTTCATTATGCATAACAGAATTCCATACTCCCATGTTTATTGCAGCACTAGTCATAGAAGTCAAAACAAATGGAAACAAACTAAGTGCCCATCAACTGACAAATGGATAAAGAAAGGCTGATACATTTACACTATGGAATACTAGCACGCCACAAAATAAATCAGTCATTTGAAACAACACAAATGGGAGTGGAGATGGCTATATTAAGTGAAATAAACTAGGCACAGAAAGACAAATGCCTTGTGATCTTACTAATACCCAGAATATAAAAATGTCATCCTCACAGAAGTTAAGAATGGAATGTTGGTTATCAGAGGCTGAAGAAAGTAGTGGGGAGACAGAGATGGCAAAAGATTGATCAATGAATACTAAGATAGAAACAAGAAGTTATGGTGTGTAATACATTATTATTATAGATAGTAATTATATACTTTATATACGAGGGCTGGGAAGATGATTCAGTTGGTGAAGGGTCTGCTGCACAAGCATGAAGGCCTGCTTTTAGATCCCCAGTGCCCATATGAAAAGCCAGGCATGATGGTGTGTGTTCCTGCAGCCCAAGTGCTGGGGCTCGCAGAGGTGGTGACAATAGGATCCCCAGAGCTCTATGGGGATCAGTCAGAGGCTGCCAGTCTAGCTAATAAATGAGCTCTGAGCTCAGTGAGAGTCCCTGTCTCAAAAAATAAGGTGGACATAGGTGCAATAGTGGTACAAATATTATAGAGGTAACTACTTTCTAATTGAATCTAAAGTCCAATCCATAGGAGGAAGTGCATGCCCAACACTGCATATCTGGCCAAGAACCCTAGGGAGTTCATAGGTCCCAAGGGTGATCCTCTATTATTTTGTTAAGTAGACACAGTTCTAAACTACCTTCTAAATTCACATCGCTACACTCATAGATCTGCAGCTCTCAGACCACATCATCAGAAAAGCTTCTTTGTGCAGTAAATATGGTAGTTAATGTAGAAACTCACAGCTGGTCAAAGTGCAGAGAATAAGTGTCTGTAGAATGCTCAGTCACAAATGGGACAACTATATCACACTCCTCCCCCAAGACTCAGGAACCATCATGGAAGAGGTGGTGAAAAGATTATGAGCCAGAGGCTGGGGAGGGCCAGAAGGGATGAGTGTCTTCTGGACATGACAGAACCCTGCACTCATGAACTCACAGCAGCTTTGGTTGCCTATACAAGACCTGCACAAGATCAAGCCAGTCAACATTCCAGCACAAAGGAGGGAAAGGCACAGGAGCCTGACCCCTAGATGAGGAGCTACTGACAGCTGATAGCTGCTAGGGAAAGGAGTCAGTTTTCTTTGAGGATGTGGCCCCTGGTAGGTCAAAACACTTTGGGAAAAAGGACTTTGAATGTTCTTACATAAAATGATAAATGCTTGAGACAAATTTGTAGTCTGATTTAAATATTATACAGTGTATACATGTAGTGAAGCACGTGACACCCTATCAATATGCATAGTTTTGATGTGTCAGTTAAAAACTAAATTTAATTTTTTTTAAAAAGAAAGCATATAGCCAGGCATGGTGGCACACACCTGTAGTCCCAGCACTTGGGACGCAGAGGCAGGCAGATCTCTGTGAGTTCAAGGCCAGCCTGGTTTACATAGTGAGTTCCAGGACAGTTCAGGCTACAGGGAGACCCTGTCTCAAAAAAAAAAAAAGGAAGCATATATTTTTGTTGGTGGTAGGGTTCCAGTTTTGATTTTGCTTGTGGTGCCAGAGCCTTGAGCATGCTAGGTCACTCTACCACTGAGCTACACCTCTGTATAAGGGGAGGGGAAGATTCTATATTGGGAAGACTGATATTATATTGCTGTATAAAAATTTCAAATGTGAATCAAGTCATGATAATGTTTAGGACAGCCATGAAGCAATCCAGTATGTATGTGCTATCTACAGTGGGCTAAAAACCATTTCAAGACTCCAAATCCTCGAAGTTAGACATCTAGTTTTTAAAAAATTATAGAAAACCTTTTATCTCTGAAGATATAAAGTCCACAAATGTTTTTCAACTTTCCATTCCCCAAGTAACAAAAGATGCACAATTAATGTGACGTATTCAGACTAACAAAAACCTGCTGACAACCATATTTGGCTTAAATTGCAACTTAATCACCTTCACTTTCCACATTGTACTGAACAACTGTACCACGTCTAACAAAGTATTGCTACAGCTAAGCACACAAAGAACCAGGCATGATTGCTCAGGGTGCCTTCAGGAGCTGCCCTGGCCTGTGCCTACATATGCATACTCATACCCTTAATTAGCATCAGCTCCAATCCCTGCACATTACTGGTTCATTTTCTTACTAGGGATCAAAGTACACAGTAGCAAACTAGGTCCCTTCACAACAGTGATGATTCCTCTATGTGCTGTTCTCCAGGCCCCTTGATGCCCTCCCTCAGTCTCATGACTTATTACTCACCTCATTTTGCCAGTGACTAACAAAGTACAGGGGAGGGAGTGATTTGTCTGCAGGGGTTGGTAAGTGGCAGAACTGAAGCAAGACCCTGGTATGGCTCTTTGTCTCATCTTTCCCCTACCAAGCACTGCCTCTGGCTGAGAAACTCATCTGAGACCCTAAGAGCCATCAGTAACAAAGCTCAGTAAAATAAACCCAAAAAATAGTCTAAAAAAGTCTTACTTGTTCACAAGCGGAATACTAAGGGCCCAGCCAGCAGCAAAGTCTGGATATTTAAAAGCTGCAGGATTTTCAGAAAAGGCGTAATGGTGAATTATTGTAGATTCTTCATCATGTAATGCTTTTCCTAAAAACCATTCCTATTAAATAAAAATACAAAACATCACATTTTTAAAAGGCTAATTTATATAAGACTAAAAACAAAGCTATATCATTAGTTTTACTTAACTAAATATCTTGGGGGATACAGAGCACAAATTATGTATTTCTGTGGAATCAATGAAAATATAAGTACACTACTATCATAATAAATCTCTTATAGTCTTTATATCTACCAAAGTAATTCAAGATCATGCCATTATGTCATAAATATGAGTGGTACTTTTTATTTTAAACTTTTTTTACTTTATTTATTTGTGTGTGTGTGTGTGTGTGTGTGTGTGTGTGTGTGTGCATGTGTAAGTCAGAGAAAAACTGTAGAAATCTCTCCTTCTACCATGTGGGTTCCAGGGATCTAACTCAGGGAGCAAGGCTTAGTGACAAGTGCCATTATCTATGAGCCACCTTGCCAACCCAAGTGGTAATTTATAGACTATTTCATATAAGAATATTAAAGCCAAAAAAAAAAAAAAGACCAACAGAGGTTTTCAAAGAGACATCTGAAAACTTCCTCCCAGAATCAAAATCTATCTTATTCATTTATTTATTCAATTTAATATTTATTGATATTTTACAATGGGCAAAAGTGTGGCTTATACTATAGTGGGGAGACAGAAATTAACATATGTATAATACTGACTGAGGAATACTCTGGAAAGAGAGAGAAACCTCATATCAAATGAAGGAGCCCACCAAAAAAGAAGTCTGCAAAAGATCAATAGACATAGTTAATGCAAAGTCCCCAATGTGGAAAAAGCTTGAAGCATTCAATGAAACAGGAAGTCCAATGTGTCTGACACACAGTGAGTATGGGGAACATGGTAGGAAAGTGACAGGGAGACCAGAGTGGGTTTCATGTGCCAGAGGAAAGAAATAAAATCTCTATTCAAAGTGCAATGCAAAACTTCCAGCTCTGGTCACAACAGAATAGCCTGTCTCAGACCTACCCTTCCACTGAAAAGAAAAGAAATGCTAGAGAAATACATAAAGAAAATGATGGGAGATACCAGAAAACAACACAGATAGGGAAACATAAAGAGCTATGATCCCAGAACTGGAAGTCCCATTTATAGGAGCTCCAGATTCACTTCATCTTCACTGAAACGAATTCATTTGCTGAGCTATGGCCAGCATGCAGCAGAAAGTAGCAGCTGGGAACTTTGGGGCTCTCATTGGAATGAGGAGACAGGGGTTGGTTGGAGCTGCACATTGCAAAGGAGATAGACATTTAAGGGGTTTCCAGAGATGTGAATGCAAGATTCTGCATGCAATTCTTATTCAGCTACCTAAGTTCTTTTTTAAGCACCTGAAAGACTAAAGAGCTGAGCAAAGTCTGGTGGTACAGGATGAAAAAGGTCAGGAGAAAGGTCTGTCTGTATACAGACCAACGCAAACAAGGTTAAAACACAGAACACCATATCCATAGCTTTCTAGTCCATAGAAAGCTGCTATCATTTCATCCACAACCTCCTTAATTTTTCAAATAAGAATCTGATAAGTCAAAAGTCATAAGACAAGGAAGAACAGACCAAAAATAAAGATAAAAGTTGAAAAACATGCAGAGATAAATTTGTAATTAAATAAAAATTTTAAATAACAATGACTAATATGTTTAAAAATGAAAAGAGAGTTAAGAAGAAATATTAAAACTCAATAGTACAAGAACTGAAGCTATGAATTCAAAAGGATATTAAGCACAAAAGAAAAGAAAGTTTGTCACATGGAAGGTAAGTCAGGAAAACAAATCCAGACTAATGTAGAAAAAAGAAAAGAAAAACAAAAAGGATGAGACAGAGAACGCTTATGTTTGTTCATATGCGAGATACTGAAAAAGAAAAAAAAAGGTCAACAATGAATGAAATTGGAAACCAAAGATAGGAAGACAGAAAGAATGGAACTCAAAGCACAATTAAAAGAAATAGAAGTTTAAATTTTTCTACAACTAGCCAAAGTCTTCAAGTCATAGATTCGAGAACTATGAATACCAATCAGGATGAAGACACAGAAAGGCAAACCAGGTATGGGCACACAACGGTTAAACAGGTGAAAACCAAGGACAGAAAACTCTTAAAGCAGTGTGTGGCAGGGTATTCAGTTCTTCTTTTAAAGGGACAAAGCAGAGCATGCAGTTGACTTCTCACCAGAAGCAGTGGAGGGTAAAGACAGTGGTGAATTATCTTTGCAGTGACAGAAGACTACCACCAACCTAGAAGGCTATACCCACTAAAAATATCCTCAGAGCAAAGAGAAACCACTAGAAGTTTTTGAACAAGTGAGGGGTAGGATTTGAATTACAGAAAGGCTGGACTGTTAGGCTGGCATAAGCAGAAATCACAAGAGTTAGAAGGCTTTATTAGCAGTCACCTCAAGAGATGCTAGCAGCCTGGGCCAGAGGAGTAGCTTGAAATGCAAGAGATGAGCAAGAGACTTTTGGAAGAGGATACAGCTGGGCAAGCCAACATAAAGTTGAAGGAAAAAGAGAAACCAATGGTGAGTCCTAGATTTGATATACGACCAATGGGACAGTGATGCTATTTCTGAAAAAAAGGAGCACTGAGGGCAGAAGGAATGGGAGAGGATATCAAGGGTATCAAGTCTGAGGAACCTATTAGATAAGCAGAGGTCTTAAGTTTGATATAGGAGTGGGGAACATCAGGTTCCTTCATGCTGTTGTAGTGAGCACTAGAGGCACTATTTGAATACCAACACAAACTAGGAAGCCCGCTGTGAGTCTGTCCTTTACCCCATTCTGCTTTATTTTTCTCCATAGCACTTGTTACCATAGACATAGTATGTTTGTTTGCATTTCTTATTATTGTCCATCTCCCCTGAAACAATAGCATCACCTCCTCAAGGAATACAGATACTGTCCATTTTGTTCACAGCTATTGCCCCAGCATTTTAACAAGTTTAACAGGTACTCAGTAGCCTTTGGTAAAGTGACTGGGGCAAGATCTGGGGAGACTGAAGAAACGAAAACATTTAAATCATATACCCTATGTTCTAGAAGTTTTGTATATGTTCTCTTTTATCCAACCAACGCCATCTTACTCCATTCCTTTTCAGAATATAAAGGTAGGGGGGAAAAGTACTGAAGTACTCTAAGTGTTTTAAGAGCCTTATCGAGCTTGTGGTTGTAGCCCAAATAACTCTCAAAGCTGTAATTTTGGCAATTTAGCAATAGGACATATAAGCAGAACTATATTTAGATTCATAGCCCCACAGGATGACTTTCTTCTTAGATTCATTAAGTCGTTACTGATTTAAAAAACTGCCCAATGATCAAAGTAAATGGGCTTGCCTTGAGATACAAGTTTCAACTGATTTTTAAAAATCAGTAACACAGCAACTCTTTATCCAACTAATAAACCTTAATCACTATGAAAATCATCCCATGCCAATATAGTTTATATAAAGAAAACTACTACCTTACTATATTTTGGCACTTTTCTCACGAATCTTTGACCATTAAATCTGCTATTCCAGTTTAATGGAAAACACGTCATTTTATTTTATCTCCTAATTGCAATGTGCAACTATTATAAGGCATGTAAGATTATGTATTAATATTTTTATTGAGGCTATGAAATATTTTAAGGAAGAATCTATAGAAAGAACCACACCTTTTCCTTAATGACTAAAGACTTTCTTAGTGGCTTCAAAATAAATTTTAAAATAACTGACAATGTTCTACTAGCACCTTAGAATTACTATTAATCAGCACTGTATCTCACTTATATTAAAAATAAATCAAAAGTTAATATACCCCATCAGATATATGAATGTTAAAAACATACTACAGGAGGAGAAAGAAAGAGTTCAAACAAAATAGGGAAATTTATAGAAAACATCTAGGAAGGCAATTTAACAAAGATCAATTACTTCAATAATCATTAAAATTTTATATTTAAAATATTGAATAACATCATAAATTTGCATTTGTATGAATGAGTGAAATATACTGAAGGAAAAAGTCTCAGAATCAAAATACCTGATACCCTAATGCATTATGTAATCATTATTTTAATGTGACTTATTTGTGTTGGCATCAAAGCCAACTTGCTTTATGTTTTTCTCCTAAGATTTCAAATGGTAAAAGACTGGTTGATCTAACTTCAACATTATATAATCTTTATTCTGTAATGCTAGCTTCAAAAGAAATAAAGCATCTTAGATTTCTTTCTCTACATGGCAGAGTTCAAAAAAGAGGGGAAAATGTCTCATTTTACCTCTGTTCTGAATTTTCTTTTTCATGAACTTGCTTTGAACTTTTGCATTTATCATTTCAATTTTCATTAAAAAGCACAGTGAGTCACCGTCCTGTACAGAATTAGAACTGTGGATAATGGAAAAAATAATCTCCAGGTGAAACGAACACTGGGAGGAGGTTGAAAGTCCTAAATCCTAAAAAAGATTTGGGAGTTTTCTTCAAGTCAGAAGGAAACATAAAAGCCTAAAAAATGGTTTATAAAACATGGCAACAAAGCTCATAGCTGTGGGTGAATCTCGTGTGAAAGGACTGGGTTAGACAGGTTCATAACTCTTTCTTCACCTAATGACCTTCTCATCTAATTTTATCTGTGACTTCACAGACATCAACAGCAGAAAGAGAAATCAGAATGGATCCTTTCAACATTTAAAATCAGCAGTTTTTATTACACTACCATATTATTTCAGTATTTGAAAAAACAATCTACCGACCAGTGTTGCCAAGTTTTTATATCTGCATCAACAACTAGACAGGACCCAGAGCCTGCCTTGTATTCCCTAGACCCTCTTTAACTCTATTCATGTCCAGAGTGAGAGTCTGGATAGGGCAGGTTTCTACTGGTACTAGGAAGGGCCCAATTCCATACATGCCAAGTTGAAAGATGCTGGAAAGTGATCAGGTTGTAACCTGGACTCTTTAGGAGAACTGCTCGGCCTGATTTACTGTGGACACATCTCCACAGCACCCCTCTGAGCCTACAGAGCCTCTGAGCACAGCCTGGGAAGCTGGGGTTACAAGGTTTTCAGTCATTCACAACTGTTCATTGATACCTGCTAAGTGCTAAACATTCTTCTCAAGATTAGGGGGTCAGAGGTAAAGAAGATTCAGTTGCCCTAAAATAAGACTAGGAAATAGAAAAGCCGTAGCATCCACTGAGTCCCTCTAACTAGAGGCAAGCCAGGCGCCCCCTCACTGCTGCTCCTTCCCCAATGGTGCTGCTGCTTATGTCATCCTCTTCCTCTAGCTCCTGCCCATCCCAGCCTGGTTTCACTTCTGAGTCTTAATTTAAGCTATATTTACACATTTATAAATCTTATCTGAAAGCTATTCCTATTATGGCCTGAGTAATAAAGGAGTATATTGCTTCTATGGTTAAAAACACTTTTAAAGATATTTTTAGTGCTCTTCAAACAAACAGTTTGTACATGAGATCGATGGTTCTTCCCTCCTAGTTAGCTTTATAAATTTCCAGTTAACTCCAGGCATTAGTGATGACCCCCCTCAAAGGCCTCAGGGACTCAGATTGTCCTTTGCTATCCTGATCCTTCCAGATAGGTTCAATGTCCATTATATACTCTAAATAGTACTTTGTATTTCTGTATTATAGAAATCTTCCTTACAGGTTTGATGTTCTAATGGTCTGTCGTTTCTGTCTGTCTGCACCAGTCAGATACTCAGGATCCTTGTCTGTTTTGTTCTAGGCCCTGGGATCCATCAGCATTCAAAATTATTTCATATACATATATATATGCGCTCTTTTCTGATGCAAATAGCCTATGTAAATTCATTCCTAGGATAAACTGTTTTGGAACTCTAAAGTAAAGTGGATTTTTGTTTGTTTTGTTTTATGTGTATGAGTGCACTGCCTGCATGTGTGTAGGTACACTCGTGTTGTGTAGTGCCAGGGGAGGTGAGAAGAGGGCAAAGGCATTAGATCCTCTGGAACTGGAGTTATGGACAGTTGTTAGCCACTATGTGGGTGCTGGGAATCAAACTCGGGTCCTCTGCAAGAGCAGCCAGAGCTCTTAACTGCTGAGCCATCTCTCTAGCCCAAGTTTATTTGTTATTTTTAAACTTCCTTACGTTGCCAACACATATTAATACATTTTTTCACTTAAAATAGTTATTTTTAGGTTCCATACCTTTGTAAGCTACAAATCTCAGAGAACTTTATAGCACGGTTTTCAGAAATTAAGCTTCTATTTCATTTTTTTTTATTTTAAACTAAATGTTTTTGTTAGATTCAAACATTGCTTAATTATGATTAAATGTTCTTGGAATCACCGTCCCCATAAATACTGGTATTGAAGCTGTATTCACCTTGGATGGGTCATACCGTTTGAGTGTTTCTAAGAGTTTTGGGATCTGTATTCTTGTCTCTTCTTCACAGAAGAAAATCCATGATGAATTTCTGCTATATGTTACAGAAAAGCTGAGAAAAAGACATAGATTACAGCATATGAGCCAATGACACAGTACATAATACAAGAAATGAATTTACACTAAGATTTAAAACTGATAACTGGGGCTGCAGAGATGGCTCAGTGGTTAAGAGTGTTACTGCTCTTGCAGAGGACCCGGATTCAATTCCCACCACCCACATAACAGCTACGAACCGTCCTTAACTCCAGCTCCAGGGGAATCCGAAGCCCTCTTCTGACCTCCGAGGTACTGCACAACACGGGTGCACTCACCTACATGTAAGCAATACACTCATACACATAAAATAAAAATAATAAAAAATATATAAAATATTAAAAAAACTGAAAACTAGGAAATGTGTGAAGGGCAAACAGGATACAGAGGCTTCTAGACTACGTTTTTCTCTGCGTATTTCCTCTGTGTATCAATTTCAACTTATAGGAAAACAAGGGATTGGGGGGGGGTCTTAATTTGATTAAGAACTTCTGTAAGAAATGTACAAAAGCTCAATAAAAAAATATTTTTTTAAAAATTAAAACTCAAATTTACTCCACTTAATGACTCAAAAATATACCCTTTTAATAATAATAATAACAACAACCATGACCTAGGTAGTACAAGAGTGTTGTGGTCAAAATGCCAATAATTTACACCTTTTGAACTAAGGGTACCTACTGTGGTAACAAGGGAAGGATGGTCCAAGCACCTTCCTGCTTTGCCAACTGATGGAGAAGGAGGACTCTGGGGAGCTCCTGAAAACACAGTGATTGAAGAAGAAAAATAAGAATACAATCAAATACTCAAAAAAAGAAAAAAAAAGCTACAAAAAGGTACACTGATGTCTACATATCTAAATATTATTCTTGGTATCATTCTTTTTCTAGTTTGCTTCAGGAGTTACTGCAGTGAAGTGTCTCAACTGACTTTACCCAACTTATACCCCACCCAGGCCCCAACAGTGCTGGAGACCTTTGAGGGGAGTCATCAGTGATAGCACCAGCTAACTGGAGAAATGCAAAAGTAACTGGGAGGGACCAACCCAGAAAAATTTGTCAGGGATAACTCAGAGGCCCAAAAGTGGATTTTTACTTTAAAGACATATAAGCACAGCAGGTTACATGAAAGCCTCTGGCTAATCAGAAGGACACAATGGTCCATCTATCTCATGAGCAAACTATTTGTTTAAAGTGCTCTAAAAAATCTATAAAATTGTTTTGCACCATAGAAGCACCTCAGTATGTCTAAACACTAGAAGTATAATCCTTAATTACTCAGACTATAATAGGAATAGGAAGAGCTTACCAATGATATTTACAAGCTTATAAATATAGAAGGAATGAAAAGATTCAAAAGTAAAGAACAACTGTGGTTCTGTGAGTAAATATGCACAGACACTGATTATTTTTAAGGCGACACATTCTAACATGAAGGGTCCCAGGAAGTGATTCAGTTGTAACTTTGAAAGTAAAGCATTATTTTCTACATTTCAAGTTGTTACAAAAGCCATAAGTCAGAATTTCATATCTGATATGCTTGGGCCTCCTCCTCCAACAAAGGTTATTCTATCTCGGGTTTTATATTAGCTATAAAACTTTATTCCTCATAACTCCTAACAGATGAAAAGAATTTAAGAATAAATGCCTACACATCTGACACATTAGGAAACAGCTGTGCCATGCCACCACAGCACACTGCACTGGAAATATCAGGGCACTGATGTAGCACCAGTGCATATTTACTAATTAAGAAGAGAACGGTTTTTTATATAAATCTTGGCATTTGAATAGCAAATAAATCTCATTTCTTTCATTTATATAGCATTTATCTACAAATAGGAATATAATGAAAGGTTAAATCAAATATGAATAAATCAAAGGTTAAATCAGACCAAGTGGCATGCTAGAAAAAAAGCAAGCCTAAAGGCTGAATTAACAGTTACCCAAGATAGTAAAAAAGAAATAATTTGGGGCCTCTCTACTGTTGCTTCTGAGTTATGCAAAAATTTTCATTGTCTTTTAAAAATTGCAATATACAATGCATATATATTCATGAAAGATTACATAAGAGCAAAAAGTCATGTATAAAGAAACTAATGACATTACTGTTTTGCATAACAGTGAAATAATTATAGATGAATGTTAATATGACCTAGATAAGACATAGAGCACATGCTGTTAAAATCTTTAGATTAAAATTATGTATTAACAAGTTACAAAGTAGCAATGGAAAATATGGTAAAATATTTTAACGATGGAAATGTCTTTATGTTAAATGGAAAAAATAGAATGATTCCAACAATAAAGCAAATTTCTATATGAACAGGGACTGACGGATCCAGGAAATGAAAAATTTGTTTTGTGATGATAGAATGATGAGCTTTTAAAACCCTTTAGTAAAGTTAAAACAGTTAAGTCTTTTTATAACTGAGGGGAAATGAATGTACCTCAAAAACTTACTTGCAAACAAGTACTATACATCTTACTTACTGGACATATAACATCAACAAGTATTAACTCAGATATTAAGGAGCTTCCTTTATAACAGCAGAGACTAGAACACAGCTCACCAGTAACTCCTACCACAACAATGAAAATGCAGCAAAGGTTTGATCTGCACAAAAAAGGAGTCAAGTCAGAGACTGAAGAAAGAAGCTCCACGGATAACGGTGGACTAAACTCATTCCAACTTCATTACTTTTTTGCTTACTAAATCACATAACATATTTTACATTCTTTCAATTTCTGAGAGAACAACTATGTTTTTTGTCCCTCTGTACTTCCAAGTAGAAGTATTTCAGGAACTTACATGTCGTGTTGATAACAGTCTCTGAATGTGTGAATGCTCACAACTGCAAAGCACATTCCAGCCCTCACAGATACCTAGTCTTGATTTATGCATTACAGCAAGTCCAAGTTCCTCTTAACTATAAATGGATTTTAATCTACTCAGTCCAAAGGCCCAAGAGCTTAGACTCTTGTCACGTACTCATAGACACATATCTCCCCTATCAAAAAGGTCACAACAGGAATGGGTGAAGGTAAAGGTGCTCGCCACTCAAGCCTGCCAACTTTAGTTCAATCCTCAGAACCCACGTAAAGGAGGAAGGAGAGAAATGACTCCACAAAGTTGCCCTCTGCCCTCCATACACACTCCCTAGAGCATGCATGTACACATGTGCATGTGCACACACACACACACAGACACCCATACACATATCATAAACAGAGACACAATAATAATAAATAAAATTTTTTAAAGTCCCCATAAAATTTTCTATCAAATGATCTTACCTTAGTCTTACCACTTGGAATTATAGTAATTTATGTTTTATCTAAGTAAATTTTTTTTAGAAAGGTCACAAGAAAGTTTTCTATTAAATGAGCTTGATTCTTACTAGTTAGAATTATAGTAATTTATTTTTTATCTATCACTACAAGATTTAGACGTCCTTTAAACGTGCTGTATTACCAGCTTTATGACACTTTTAGACACAGAGCGAGTGTTTTTAATAAGTCATTCGAAAGTGTTTTGGGGAGCCAGAGATGCAACTCAGAGGTAAAGTGCTTGCCTAGCATAAGCGAGGTCCCAGATACAATCCCTAGTACCACAAAAAAGAAGGTGGGGGGCAGTCAGGGAGATAGGAGACGGGGAGATAGCTCATTGAGTAAAAGTGCTTTCTGTACAAGCATGAGGACCTGAGTTTAGATCCCCAGCACCCACAACATAAAAACCAGGCAAGGTCACACATGCCTGTAAACCTTAGGCACTGAGGGACACAAAGACAGGAGGCTTACTGGGGCTTGCTGGCTAGCCAGCCTAGCAGAAAAAAGGGTGAGCTCCAGGTTCAGTGAGAGACTCAGCCTCAGGGGAATGAAACAGAGTGATAGGGCAGGATGTCCAACACCCTCCTCTAGCCTACATGGACTGGGCATGTAAACCCATGCATGCCACACACACACACACACACACACACACACACACGCACGCACACACACAAAGAAAAGAAAATTCATTGTTGCCAGGCTTGGTGGTTCTTGCCTATAACCCTATCCAAGAAGTTGAGGCAGAACCGCTACAACTTCAAGGCTAGCCTGGGCTACATTGTTGAGTACCAGGCCAGGAATACAGGATATACAGCCAAGGCCCAGTCTCAAAACAACAAAAGAAGGAAAGAGTTTTCAAATGAAAAACCAAAGGTAAAACGAAAATGTCTCAACATTACAAAGAGTTGCCTGTACTGAAGAAGGAACCACACTCCTACACTCAGCACTGCTGCTGTAATGTGGTGGCTGACCACCAGCCACACTATCGTACCTAAAAGGGTATGCAAAAGTCTACAGATAAAGAGATAACACCAGAATGAAAGAAGCTTAAAGAGACAAAAAAAATATAGCTGATTAAATGGGGGTAAATGAAAGAAAGGGGAGGGGTAATGAAAAGGCTGATGGGAATTTTAACATCTCCGTCAGCCTGATTCCTGTGCTTACATGGAAGCCTTCCTTTGCAGCAGCAGCAGCCCTAGTGTCATAATCTCTGCAAAGACAGTCCCTAGATTGTGAGTCAACACTTCTTCGAACATACTTGTTGCAAGGCACATACTCATTTAAAGTAGCTAATGATAACTGAAACCAAACAAATTTAAAGCCAGCAATCTAATTCATTAGCTGGTTCTTATTCATACACACAATCATCATCTTCAATGCAAAGGGGCCTTAATTCCAGTGTCATAGCTGAGCATTCTCAACAGTATGTGAGAATGGAAAAGACTCTCCTGTTCATTTGTTGTTTTTATTTTGTGGTACTGGGAATTGAACTTTGGGGCCTTTCCACCACTGAGCTACAAATCCCCAGCCCAAGACTTTTTCATCTTGACACAGAGAAAAAATCATGAAAATTTTATGTCTAGAAATATTAATAGGACAAACAACAAAGCTAACATTTGAATATAGATTAAAACAGATGAATATTTAAGTGATCATAAATAACCTTAATTATTTCGCAGATTTGAACCACTTTTATCTTTCTGACTCTGACTGGAAAAAGTTCTGCAACTTAACTCCATTGCTGCTGGTCTATCCTTCCGTCAAGGGGCTATTTCCTTGTATTTGTAATTTGTCCTTATCGTAATTTAATGGCCTGAGCCTGAAAAAATGTGAGTTTATGGTCTCACCCTTCAGAACTAGTGCTAGATTAGAAAGAAAGCCAAGACATTTGTTAAGTATTAAGCAAAAGTTCTAAAAGACTGAAATCTATTCTAAGACTGACTCCAGGTCAACGTAACTCTAAACCCCATTATACAGCTCTTAGGCATTGAACTGAGTTTTCAGACCAACCAGTAAATTATGATGAAAATTAACATCTGCTTATTGTTATGAATTCTTCTTTAAGAGGTAAGTACTTACTACAAAGATAACAGGGATGTATAATATGCTGTTTGGAACATATATGAGACAGGATTTGTAACCTCTAAAACCTAGTATTCATTTATGAGCTAGTTGATTATAAGTGATGCCATAGTGGCATTCTTTACAAGAATCTAAGTCTACACTTAAATATGTACCTTTTCCAGATACTTGTCTTAATCATTAACTGTCCTTTCTCCAGAAAGAAAATGTATTATAGCATTATAAATTTTATTTTATATTTTATGTACTTGAAATGTACATTTTTATAGTACATATATATTTTAACTAATCGTTTACTCACAAAAGCAGTAAAGCTTGGTGTTTAAAGACTTGATTTTTAGAAGCAA